CACGGTGTACTGTGTCTTGAACGATTCCTTACTAAGGTATCGGAACGCTGTTCTCAGGTTTGCCAGGCGCCCGTATGCAGCAGCAGTTATCTGGTTGATGTGTGCCTCGGGAGACATGCTCGGTGTTATGGTCACCCCAAGATCTTTCTCCTTGAGCGAGGTTTGCAGTCTTTGGCCACCTAGCCTATACTCCGTCTGCGGTCTTCTGTGCCCTTCCCCGATCTTCATGATTTTGCATTTGGCGGGGTTAAATTCGAGAAGCCAGTTCCTGCGACCAGGAGTCCAGTCTGTCCAGGTCTCTTAGAAATCCTGCCTGATCCTCTGATTTAATTCTCCTCATTAACTTCACATCATCTGCGAACAGGGACACTTCTGAGTCTAACCCTTCCATCATGTCATTCACATATACCAGAAATAGCACTGGTCCTAGAACTGACCCCTGTGGGACCCCGCTCGTCACAGGCGCCCACTGTGATACCTCATCCCGTACCATGACTCGTTGTTGCCTCCCTGTCAGGTATTCTCTGATCTATTGCAGTGCCCTTCCTGTTGTGTGTGTGTGTGTGTGTGTGTGTGTGTGTGTGTGTGTGTTTGGACATGTGTGCGTTTGAGCTCGTTTAGATATTTTTCAGCAACAAACAAACGAACTAAATTAACGATAAACAAGTTGAGAATTATTGTGATAACTGATAATCTTCAGGATAATTAAATCTCCAGCAATAATGTATTGAAATGTGAATTATCCAGTCATACACAGTCATACACAGTCATACACAGTCATACACAGTCATACACAGTCATACACAGTCATACACAGTCATACACAGTCATACACAGTCATACACAGTCATACACAGTCTATACACTGTCATACACAGTCATACAATCATTACACATCATACACAGTCATACACAGTCATACACAATCATACACAATCATACACAATCATACACAATCATACACAATCATACACAGTTATACACAAACTATCGTATATATCATTGTATTGGATTTCTGTATTTCACAGACTATCTCTCTTAGTACAGGTTGTATTGATATTTTAGTTGTCTTTCCCGTAGAGTTTTTGACGCCCTGTTTGAGTTGACAAACTTCAATATTTATCCAGATATTGTAATGTTATGTTAACTTTGCCTGCGTGTGTGTGTGTGTGTGTGTGTGTGTGTGTGTGTGTGTGTGTGTGTGTGCGTGTGTGTGTGCGTGTGTGTGTGTGTGCGTGTGTGTGTGCGGTGTGTGTGTGCGTGTGTGTGGTGTGTGTGGTGTGTGTGTGCGTGTGTGTGTGTGTGTGCGTGTGTGTGTGCGTGTGTGTGTGCGTGTGTGTGTGCGTGTGTGTGTGTGTGTGTGTGTGTGTGTGTGTGTGTGTGTGTGTGTACGTGTACACGACCATCATTTTATGTATATTCGTTAATGGTTCTATATGGGTATTAGTCTCAGTATGTGCATTTATCCACCCAAGTGCATACAGCTGTCCACCCATTAATCCATTTCCATTCACCTGTCTGTCATTCACCTATGTACTCTTCCTCATCCATCCATCCGCCTGCTCATCTCCACGTACATCCATCTTTTCACTCTTCTGCCCTCGAAACCATCCATCAACTCCTCCATCCAGTTATTCAGCCTATCCATCCCCCTCACCCCCAACCACCCAGACCATCCATCCCCATAAATCCACCCACTTATCCACTCATTTATCCACCATTCCGGGAACCCAGACATCTACGGAGGTCAATGAACCTCAGATTCTATTCAATAACACCTAAAAATACACGGAAAAAATCATTGTTTTTTCACACACACACACACACACACACACACACACACAACACACAATGGCTGGACACCTCTCCCACGCACACAGGCCGGACAAATCGACCAACTGCTACCCTAACAAGCTGAAAAAAGCTAGCCAAAACGTAATGGGGCTATTTCCTTAGCTGGCTTCGGAGACATAATGGGACTTCGAGAGTAAAATGGTTGTTATTGTCTCTCTCGAAGTCAATAATGTTGACAAACTTCGCCACAAGCGATACCCTTGGTGAGAAGGATTGTGTCTGGCTGTCATGTGAGGGAAAGAGTGGGTCTCTCTCTTCTGTGTCTGTCTGTGTTTGTGTCTGTCTGTGTCTGTGTCTGTCTGTGTCTGTGTCTGTTTCTTTATCTGTGTATCTGAATGGTAAAGGTACGAGGGGACACGAATTATCACTAACATAGGAGAAGCACCATAAAAGTATGTTGTCAGAACGTCCTCAACTTTTAAGAATTGCCCTGCAGTGCCCTGCTTTGCCCTCCCTGCCCTCCCTGCCCTCCCCTGCCCTCCCCTGCCCTCCCCTGCCGTCTAAACCCATGTATCTTGGGGTGAAAGTGATCTCTCGTGGATGGCAGTAAAAATAACGTAAAGGAACTATAATATATTGTCCACTTATGAAAAACGATAATTACTGTTTTTCGGTGAAGGAAAACGGTAAACCACGCTTAGTTTCACTGTTTCCTGTTTTAGACAAGCCACTCCATTATTCACTGTTCCAGTTGCAGAAATAACAGTAAACGTCTAGAATATGCACTGTATTCAGTCTGTCCAATAAAAAACGGTAAAACAGTTTCCCGTTTCCAGAATACAGCTCCCATATTAATCCGTCCGTGAGGCTTCACATTAGATAAAAAGTCTGTTGTCCGTGTTCTTAAACTGACCAGATGTTCAAAAAAATGGCGTCTCTCTTTTACATTATAACAGGATTTACAGCTGTATTTAAGAGTGAAAAAAAAATCAGGGGAAGGGATAAGCTCTTTTCGTTTTACAAACCTGCGATTTGTTTAGAGTCGTGAATTGAGCTACGATTTTTTCTTCTTTCATGGAAGTGCATGAGAGATTTGCGTGTGTGTGTGAATTTCATTCTCATACGTGCTTCTGTCTATCTCTATCTCTCACCTGCATCGCCTGGTACACCCTCCTCAGATAGGCACTCCCGTAGGCGTTATGGTCCTCCATATGAGGTACGTTCCCCAGCCCAGGATGCTCGAGGAACGAACACAACGTTCGATTGTTGATATCACTGAGTCCGAACGGCAAGAAGGGCAGGTTGGCGCTCGGACAACACTCTTCGGGCGTCGATGCTGTGCAGTTAGGTTGGAATGGCTCTGCAAATCGCAAGAATACATTGTGTTTATTCCATGGTACCGATGATAGGCGATTCGGTTCTCTGAAACAAGTGAATAACTAGGTGTTACTCCTGAAGGAGTCTTGATCCAATGAATAGGATATACAATCCCATTCCTTGGACTGAAACCGCCTCTCATTCTCAGTAATAATAAAACATTAACCCGTTTAAAATAAACGTTAATAATATTAACGTATTACCCCATTGAGGTCAAAGTTGTCAGAAATTTTGTAATCCGTTAAAATTTACGCTAGGCGGTGTGTAGGTGTGTTGATAAAGTAAATATGACGCAGTTAGCTGGTTAATGAGCCTCATTAAACAGTGACACTGTGACCTCGTCTGTCGTGGTTCAACGGCCGTTTTTTGTCGTGTCGGTGAAATTGTCAACAAGTGCTGGGGTTGACGGCGGCACTTGTCATTCTGTGTTGGAGAATTTAGAATAGGAATGAAATTTGTTATTACGTTAGAGACGAGGGAAATGATGAGTAATGATGTGAGAGCAATGATGGTAATGGGGGTGGATGTGATGGTGGTAAGGATAGGGTTTTGGATGATAAAGATGGATGGAGTACGGCTGCGAATGTGAAAACACACCGATAACCAAATAAGAGACAGACAGAGAGACAGACAGAGAGACAGACAGAGAGACAGACAGAGAGACAGACAGAGAGACAGACAGAGAGACAGACAGAGAGACAGAGACAGACAGAGAGAGACAGAGAGAGACAGAGAGAGACAGAGAGAGACAGAGAGAGACAGAGAGAGACAGAGAGAGACAGAGAGAGACAGAGAGAGAGACAGGAAGAGAGACAGAGAGAGACAGAGACAGACAGAGAGAGACAGAGAGAGACAGAGAGAGACAGAGAGAGACAGAGAGAGACAGAGAGAGACAGAGAGAGACAGAGAGAGACAGAGAGAGACAGAGAGAGACAGAGAGAGACAGAGAGAGACAGAGAGAGACAGAGAGAGACAGAGAGAGACAGAGAGAGACAGAGAGAGACAGAGAGAGACAGAGACAGAGAGAGACAGAGAGAGACAGAGAGAGACAGAAAGACAGAAAGACAGAAAGACAGAAAGACAGAAAGACAGAAATAGAGAAAAACAGAGCGATCTGCCCAGTGTACACTCACCCATCCATTCAACATAATTGAGGACGGCCTCGTTCAGTGGAGTGTTCCTCAAGAGAATGACCCCGTCAGCCAGACTATAGAGCTCCGCGGACGCGTCACCGTACTGACTCAACCAGTTGCTGGATTTCTCATCGAAGTAATCTGGATAACCCATTGCTTGTCCCTCAACGGTGCCGAAGTAGGGAATGGAGTCGTTTAGCTGCAGTAAAGATTATTACTATTATTATTTTATTATTTTTCTTACCCAGTTGTGGGTCACTCGGCCTAAGGCCTAGATTCGATCCTTCTTGAGGAAAAACATCATATATATAGCAATGAAACCACGAAACAAGCGGTTTTGAATAATTTATCAGGTGACATGTACATTGTGTTGTCTCTTCAGGCGGGACAATGTGTACTGGGGTCGAATCCTGGCCTGCCGCAGTTTGGTAAATATAATATATGCAAAGAAACCACTCTGAAAGAATAGAGAAATTCCAAGCGCTTTCGTGACTACTTACATTATCAAGGAACTATGAAAGTAAAGCATCCAAGAAAGCTATATAAGGGCTCTGGCCAGCACCTCACTATTGCATATATATATATATATATATATATATATATATATATATATATATATGTCGTGCTGAATATGTAAAACTGGTCAATTAGCAAGAACTCATTTAAAATTAAGGCCTTTCTGAAATTTTCTCTTATACGTTTAAAGATATATTTTTTTCATTAATGTTAATGTAAATTTTTTTAATTTTGCTCCAAAAGAATCTTAGAAAACTCACCTAACCTTATTATAACAAAAGCAATTTATTTTAGCCTAACCCAACTAAATATATTTTAGATTTGTTTACAATAATTTAATACTAAACAAACACAATCAAATACATTTTTTTCGTTAGGCTCAGAATGATTTTGGCGAAATTATTGCATACACAAATTTTCACTTGTCCTATATGGCAAGATGAGCGTTGCTATTTAAGCCAAGATCGCAAGTTTTGCCTATTCGGCACGACATATATATATATATAATACCGTTCCTCGTCTCACCTTCAGAAGGACGTCCATATCTCTAGATGCATTGTAGGCGGAGCTGTCTACGGGAAGGAAGGGGTACTGCACTAGCAAGAACTTGCGGCTGGAGTTCCTCACCTGCTGGATCTTCTGCTGTGCCTCCGACGAGAGGGCAGCGTAGGAGTTCGGGTAGTTGAGACGTGTGTCGATGCAGTCACTCTCGTAAGGAAGCTCCGCCTCCTCCATCGTGTCCACGATGAAGCTAATAAGGGTGATAATTTCAGTATTCTGCAGCCAGATTAAAGCTTAATGTTTCTACGACGGACTCGTAGATAAGGGACTGTTCCAGAGTTTAAATGCCCTAGACGCGTCGAGGTTTAAATGCCCTAGACGCGTCGAGGTTTAAATGCCCTAGACGCGTCGAGGTTTAAATGCCCTAGACGCGTCGAGGTTTAAATGCCCTAGACGCGTCGAGGTTTAAATGCCCTAGACGCGTCGAGGTTTAAATGCCCTAGACGCGTCGAGGTTAAATGCCCCAGACGCGCCGAGGATTTAAACGTCTCAGACGCACCGAGGGTTTAAACGTCTCAGACGCACCGATGGTTTAAACGTCTCAGACGCACCGAGGGTTTAAACGTCTCAGACGCACCGATGGTTTAAACGTCTCAGACGCTCTAAAGTCTCCAAAATACGATAAGAGAGACGTAAAACAAATTCCAATGAATATAAATTTGTCTTTTTTTTCATACTTAAACGTCCCTTAGATTTTCAATAAATTTTCTTCTGTAATTTTTATCATTCATAAATTTGTGTGTTTTAGTGTACCATTTTTTTTTTATTTTTCCTCCCACTGTTACCGTAGACTATTCTATTGTACCGAAATAATCTGAAATTAAATAGTATTACGATATTTGTAAACAAAAAATAGATTTGAGAGTATTTGATAATCGTGTTAATAATCACCTTTGTAAGCTGAAATAAAATTGATTACAAAATTATTCGTACTCTGGCAAGACTTAAACGTACAATGGTTTCGTTATCTGTACTCCTATGTTGTTATTCGCACTCTGATTATCTTCTTACCTGTACTCTGAAATTTTTTACCCTAACTCTGGTCGGATTATCGTCATCGCCAGTACTCTAGATTATTATCGGAACTCTTAAATGAATGGTAGTTACACTCTGAAAAGATGATCACTCACTCGTACTCAGAAGAGTTGTCAGAGGATCTACAGAGATGGTATCCCAGTGACCAATATGGAGGAAAGGCAGGAACTCCAACCATGCTAGTATACTGCTGAGTCACATCCCTTGGTCTTGGACCGGCCATCACCCTGAGGTCCAGGGCTCCTACCACAGCCCTGAAGATCACTGCTGGAATGGGCAACACCCCGACTTCCACGGGGCCTGAGTTTTTGAGGTACACTCCATACATGTCACCAGAGTTCTCGAAGTTCATGAAGAAGGGGTGAGAGCCGTAGGCTAAACTGCTGCTGCTCCCAGCTTCGAACTCATCTTCACGGTTGTACAAGGCCCAACGTTCCCGTTGGCTGAAGTCCGGCGTGAGATCGAAGTTGTCTCTTTGGCCGAGGCCGTAGAGGTTGTAGGTCGGGAGCCTGGTGGTGATCTCCATGTAGTTCTCACTGTAGATAAGCGGTCCGAAGACCGTCTCCAGCACCGTCTCGTTGGTGGAGAGGCGAACTACCGTCACATTGAAGTCTCCTCCTGCTTGTTCTTCCACGACCACGTCTAGCTGCTGGTCGCTCCCCGGGTGGGATATAAAGTCGTCGTTGATAAGGTCGTCGTGTCCAGGACTCCACAGGAGTATCCTCACCACGTCGTTGCCCCGTCTTTGTATCTTCAACTGCAGGGGCCAGGATGGAGTCCCAAAATTGGACACTTTCCTCAAGAAAGTCAAGTTAAGAGTGAGGTCTTCGTCACTTCCCATCCTGTGAAAAACTGGGTAAGAGTCAAGAGCTTCATCGTTAGTGTCCTCCACGATGTAGCCGTACTCTGAGGGCACAGAGTGGTAGCAGATCGGGGCGTACATGTCTTGCATATCCACGTTGAAACAGCAGCCCAGAGCGTGGCATTGATCTTCCCCCGTCACCTTGCCCGGCAGACAGTCAAACCTGAGGTGACATTGCACCAATTATGACGACCAATAGTTATTAATTTGCATTAATAATAA